AGCACCACTGAATGAACAATGGCCTGTGAGGTCAGTGCTCAGTGGCGAAAATACTTAATCTACACCAAGTTTGTGTGGTTTACTGAAGATACATAAACAGGGTTTACCTTTAAGACCAATTGTCTGTATGATCAACTAGGTCACCTATAACATCTCAAAGTTTCTGGTTTTGTTCCTCAACCCGTTGAGGCCACCTGGCCAGACCCCCCGATCTGCTCTGTCTCTGATGCCGATCTCATCACAGCCATCTGCCTGCTGGCAGACCTGCTGAACTGAGTTGCCAGCATTGGCATCTCTCCCTGGACAGTGGGACAGTGGGTGGATGGTGGGGCACTGCATGATATTGGGTTTTGGACCTAGTGTTTTCAGTTTTGGACTTTCAGTTTCTGTTTGATATTCTCTGTTTGACCTGGTTTGTTATAGTTTTTCTGTTTTGAGTGTATCTAATATTATATTTTAGCTTAGGCTGTGTTCTCATTCGTATTTGGTATTTCTGGTTTTTCCTTAGAGTGATAATTTATGTGTCTGTGCTTAATATCATGATTTGCTGGGTTATATTCTTGACATTTGTTGGTTTGTATTAATGCCCTTATTTCATTTATCGACCTTTCCCTGTGCTCTCCATTCCTTGCCAAGTCATCTTCCCCATTTGTGATTCTATCTTTTGTTACTTCCTGTTTTATTTTATTAGTCTTTCTCTTGTGTTGTTCAGTTTTGTGTCCCTCTGCCTTTTTCCCTGATTTTGTTCGGCTGTGTCCCCCGGTGTGTTCCATCTCCCTGATTACCACATGTCTGTATTCAAGCCCTCAGTTTCCCTTTGTTGCATAATACTGTTTGTATTGTTGTCTGCCAGTGTGGCTTCTTTGTACATTCTCATTTGTTGTTGTCTGGGTTTGCAGGCTCACCGTTAAATAAAGATTCGTATTCATTTATTTAAATGGAGTCTGCATTTTGGGTTCAAACTCCACACACATAATGGACTGGTTCTTATAGCTACAACGCTTTTCTACTCTTCCTGAGCAATCAAAGCACTTTATACAACTTGCATCATTCACCTATTCACATCGATTTATACAAGCACTTTTTTCTATGCTTCTCATTGTGACAATAATATAAACACCTTGAGGCAACTGTTGTTGTGATTTGGTCATATATAAATAGAACTGACTAGAGTATCTATTTGAATTTAATACAGAATGCCAGAGAGCCTCGCTTCATTAGACTCATGTATATATGAGCATCAGCTCACACTTGAGTGAGCTGGTGCCTGCCTGACTGTTGTTTTCAACCAGACATTTCCACCTAGGTCAATAGAAAACTGTTCATTTGAACAAGAAGCTAACATATTCATGTGACAAACATTAAGTTAATAATTTACTAGTTTGGAAATGGGTGCTTAATATTAACGTTCAGTGTGTAAACTAGCAAATGTGAGATGTAGCTGGTACAGACTGAACCTGTCATTAAGGTGTGGCTATATAAATATGTGTACAACTCTGTGTCTATATGTTTATGGACAGGCATGCAATGTAGTGACAAGGATTGACAAGAACTAATATTGCATATGAGAAAGATTGCACATAGAAACTACCATGGTGTATTGTACGCTACAGGTAAGGAAGGAAAGTAGCCTTGCAGGTAAGGAAAGACCTGAATCTCTCATGGTTGAGGGTTGGGGGAGGGTGTGTTTGCACAACAAAAGCAGGAGAACAATGGAGCTGAAGGCCTGTGAAAATCTCAGCGGGGTTCCAAGAGGTGTTAGGGTCAGGGGAATTTACGCAAATTTGCGCAGGGCTAGTAAATCTAGTAGTAGGGACTTGCACCAGGGAAAAAAGACTCAGTAATTCTAGTGTTAAACTCCAGTAATTAGACAATGTCCTCACTCTTTTAAACCGAACACAATCAAATGTCAGTGCATGCGTCGGTGCATGATGAACTGTTTCTGTAAATGTGCAATTAGCAGTCAGACATTTGCAGTCCTGTAACTATGAGACAGTCTTATATTATTAGCCTACACAGTGTCCCTTTCAGACAGTACACCTATATCCATAAAATGAGTCACAGATGCATCAAAGTTAGATGAGCAACACAAAGGGAAACCTGGACGGGAGACAGAATCACGTTTTCCACTCGCCAGCAGTGCTGCAGGTAATTCAGTCTGTTGCAGGAAGATTTGTGATGAACAGATGGCTTGAACAGCAAATATGTTCCAGTCCTTAAAACATTTTTTTTCTTTGATCTAATCAGCTGTTCCTTAACAAATTACTAGTTTGAAACAATCTTGAATCTTGAATGTAATTTCCTTGTAGTTAAGTACAGTAGTTTTGATTTAATTCACCATTAAACCCCAGAAATATATTGAAATGTCAATGCTATTTCTAGTTTAAAGCAACTATTAAATACGTGATTATAACAACTTAAACCAGGTTATGGTAAGATTTAAGAATTTAAGGCGCACCCTCTTTAAGTAAATATTCAAATCTGAAGGATTTAAATGATTATTAAATTGAGATCCTGGATATTTGTTTTACAAAAATAAAATGAATCCATAAATCCTCAAAAGACATTTTTTCCGCGATGAAAAAAATCGTAGCGAGATATATACTTGCAAACAAGAGAAATGGTTCATGTCACTGATTTCAGTTTGTTAGTTTTACTGCTCAGATTTGGGAGAACATGCATTTGAAACATATTTGGAAAGTTTTGAACATGTGCAAACATCTGAGCTATTATAGACCAATGGTTTGTAATTTTAAGGGAATGCATTGCTGGTGTGAATACGTGACACATTTGGTACTACTAACAGAGAAAAGATATCAGACGGAACAGTTACGTCCTCCTCTGGACCAAAGGAAGACAGACAGGTAAATCATAACCATATGCGTGTTGTGTCTGAAAAGCATTAACGGAGAAGCTGAAAAAAAATATCTGAGAGTAATAAAGAATGTCTTTACATAAATGATTTCCGCCAAAAGCGGGAGAAATTGCACATTTTCCCAGAGAAAATCTAAAAGAACGAAGGATTACGAAGGATGTTTCTGACGCACAGGTTTCCCTTCTTTCCGAATCTACATCGTATAGTCCGAGTGCTACGGAAGAGGACTGGGGCGACCGGAGAGAGGAACAAATGTGAGCGTTTTTTGGATTTTGTTTTTCTTCCAGAATTCAGAAAAACAAACAAACTCAAATGCAGAATTTTTTCTTAGAATTCTGGAAAAAAGAATCCAAAAGACCTCCCAGTGGTCTTTATCCTCCTCTGCAGAGTGTAATACTCGCTTTGATTTACAGCAGTTTGCGAAACCCATGAGCTGCACCGCTGGGAGTGTAAGGGGTTAAATCACGTGTGTGGTAAACCTGTTACCCGAGTAGGACAAAGACACCGGGGCCGACATTCATTCCGCTCTGTTGCACGGTCGCCGTCACAGCGTTGAAAAGATGCTGCGAGGTGCCGAGTTTTACGGCAGCATCCTGCCTTTGTACCTTTTCCTCTGCGTCTGTTCTCTACCGGTACACGACCACAGGACCGCCAAGCAGCTGCAGGTGAGTCAAAGTATCTGAAGCGTAAATGCACTTTTCAGAGATCCTTATGAATGGGAAAGTGTTCACAGATGCAATGGTGAACAAACATCCATTAATACAAAAGTTGACATGAATAAATGAATTAAACATGTCAAAGTTACCTGATATTGTGTGTGTGTGTTCAAAACTGTGCTGCATGTATCGTCACATCCACTCGTTTTAGCGATGCTGCTGTAAGTTCCTTTGTTGTTCTGCATACCTTAATGATTCTGCATGCGCTGCCCTTAAAGACATCAATGTTCTCACTGAAAGCTGTTGATGGTTGAACAGCTGAGATTTGTGAGATGTGAAGTCTCTTTGAGTTTCTGTCACAACTGACTCAGGGAACTATGATTTTCATAGTTATAACATCTTCAGATTACCAGTGTGGGGTTTCTGTTTTGGAATAACACGGTCGGTCCTGTTTGTGAAGGATTAAAAAAAGAAAGAAAGAAAAAAGAAGTTTTATTGTTGTTACTGTGTACTGTACCCTGGAGGGTGCCAGAGCTGCTTTCCGGTGAGTGAGAGTCAGATTATGCAGGCAGAGGCACGCACCTGGTAACTCCGGTGCAAACGCTACTTATTTGCTGACTCAGGGGAAAAACGCAGATAACTACTTAAAGACAGAAACACGAGGTAAACAGGCAGTGTGCAGCAGAGTAACACCACCAAGACTTGTTTGTAAGCTTTAAGTGTCCACAGACAGGAACCGGCCCTGGCAAAAAGGACCCTGTGCAGCTGTCTGGCATTCCTATTTATTCCTTGTTTGAGTCCAGTGACTAATCATAATAGCTGAAGCAGACCTGCTGCTTGTGACAGATTCATGTTACTAACAAACAATCAGTCCCTGACATTCTTCTGTGTGGGAGGCTTCCTTCTGGACTGTCAATGATGAATTAATCTGTTTATCTGCAGGTTAAGCAGCAGAACCATTAAGTCAAATACTAGCATTTTATACAAACCCTGTTACCTATTGAGCTGTTGCTCATAACAGTCAAGGCAAAAGCTCAACTTTAAAAATAAAGAAAAGTTTTTTTAAAGATGTTTTTTTTTAGTCACAGTTTATGAAAGTAGATTAATATACCAAAATCCACTTTAGTGATACTTATAATTGCAGTTTCTGTGTAGTTCACTGACTATCCAACGTAACATCGTATGCTCTAATATTCTTTGTTATGATCATGTAAACACATTAGCTTGTTCAGACGCGTCAGACCAAAGTGTGCATCTATAAAAACAAGCAATATTGTTGTCCCTTTTATGCAGAACATAATCTTAGTTTGCTTTACTTTCATGTTGTTTTCACTCACATATTTTAAGAGGCAGTTTAAGTGGGATAATCGTGCTGTTTGGCTTGTGGCCCTTGAAGCCATGTCTTGTTTGGGCCTCTTGACATGTTTTAGAGGTCTTTCACCAAAATGTTCAGAAGATGTTAGAATGTTAGAAGCTGAAAGGACAAAAGAAAACAAGAAAACATAGTTTTAAATGTAAATTTAGCTTTAAACATATGAATTAAATTAATTTTTTCCCTCCATTCCTCTGTACTCTAGATTTATTTGAGTTTTTCAAGTAACCTCGACCAGAACTGAAATGATTTAATTTGTTGACTGTTAAAAATGGACTTGTTAATTGTTTCCTTGGTGAGAGAGGTGCGCTATTTTGGTTAGTCAAAACAAGACATTTGAACACATCAATTTGGACTCTTGGAAAAAATAAGAAAAGATGTATTTTGACATTTTCTAGATCAAATAATTAAGTGATTGTTTCCAGAAGATATTCCACAAATTAATCAACAATGAAAAAAATGGAGTTGCAGCTTTTGCTGAGCTGGGTATACACTGGATGGAGCTTATAAAGTAGCTAAAACTAAGTCTAACTTCAAGAACTGAAAAAAGTTGCTCATTGTATTACAGTACCTCTAATTTTAGACACTTCTAGTATTTTTGCTACTCATGATAATATATCATCTGGATGATATATTATCATGGTATTTTGAATGCAAGACATAGAGAAGTAGTTTTATTTTGGTATTGAGCCAATCACAGACCCAAATACTTTCACTGCTGGAGACAGTAGTTCTCACTGTTTCTATAATCACACTTATGCACTTTTATCTGGAAACTGTTTTCAAATGAAATCACTCTGCCCTACATCCTCAATTATGGATGAGGACTTTTATCAAAGGAAATCGGCAGGGTCTGCGTGGTACGCTCATAAATTTCCACCCTGAACAAAGGAGTTTGGGACCGATAAAATCGAATCAAAAAGCAAACTGTATGCCTGCTTGATTGTTTCCAAACGTCTGAGTTTTTTCCTGTCCACACATGGCCAAAAGAGTGACCGAAAACAGCGTGGGATGAGGACAAAAGGTTAAAATCTGCTGAAGTTTGTTAAGGTCTATTTTACAAGAGCATCCAATATACAGACAACAGAGATTTGCAAGTACATGGGGGGAAATAAAAACAACAAATGACTGGTTTAATGACAGGCCCTGTGTAGTGAGCCAGGAAAGTCCAATAAAAAAAAAAAAAAAACAATCCAAAAAAGCACGGATCACACAGGAGAAACGATGGAGGCATGTTAGGGAAGTGCAACAAAGAATGAGGGAAAAGACATGCACTAAATAGACACCGGGGAGAGAGGGGTAATAGGGCAACAATCAGGTCAATCAGACAGAAATATGTAATAATCAAAATAACTTTAAAATAATACAGGAAGTAAACTAAAAAGGATTTGAGAGAAAGGCAGACGCAGGCACACAGAAAAAACAGAAGAGGGGGAAACCATCAAAAACACAAAGGACAGAGAAAACTAACCATTCATATTAGAAACCACAACACACAGAAACTGCAATGTTTTCAAAGGTTCCTATGGAAAAGCTGATGTTATCTAGAGTATGATGGGGCTTGTTGACTGAAGGTTTACTGATAGATGTTTACCTTGGAGAAGCAGCCTCTCATCTCTATTCATGCTAATACCCTTCATCCTGCAAACATTCCCCACACTTAGCGCAGTCAGCTCTCTGTGTGCAAAACACTTACAGCCTGCTGATATTCAGGGCTTTTTGTAGTTAAATATTTACCCTGGAGAAATTTCTCCCACTATGTGCATCATTTATCTAAAGTTTGGCTACTTTATATCTGCCAAGGGATATCTGTGAGATATCTCACTGCACGTGTTTAAAAGGGAGTTGAATCAAGTCCTGCTTGTTTTTTGTGTCACTGTAAAAATGATAATTCTCGCTAATGTTTAGATTACCATCCTTAACAACCTCCCATAAAACACCCCCGGTATTATAGTGCAGGTGACCTGATGTCATGACTGAAGAGGGAATTTCCAGACATCTGCTCACTGTGTGTGATGCAGCTTTTTGTATCTTTGTGTGTGTGCACATTTTTTCTGTGTGCAGGTTCATACTTGCACATATACGTGTAGTTGCATGTTTGAACATCATCAACAAAGAGTCCTCAGTGTAACCACCTATTAGATAAAACTATAATGCTCCTTTCTGCAGATGGGCCCAGCAGTACACGTGGCTTGTATCTCAGGCACACTGATTTGGGAAGCAGGAATCACACTATCCTGTGGGGACATGTTGGCCCCATTGGCAGGATTCCCAAACATACACAATGCTTTCTTTTAGTGGCATGTGACTCTGTGTTATGCCTTTTAAGCAAACTTGTACTCATTGCCAATATACTTACAGAACAAACTATAGTTTTGTCACTCATCCTAAATTGAACGATCTGCTAGCTCCGCATGGCTCTGGCTTCAGCATTGTTCAAACTGTCTAAGCCTGGGGTGCCAAACTCATTTTAAGAGTTTAAAGCATTTTAAACAGGCCGGACCAGTGAAAATCCCCTTTTTGACAGTATAAAGAAGTTACATATTTAACTTTTTTTCTACATGATGAAGAAAAAGCTGCTGTGACAAGGAAAGAAACTGTGACCATGACTCTTTGGACTTAAAATGTAAGAAATAAATGTGTAAAATTTCAGAAAAAGTTTAGATTGTCCAGTTTGTTTGTTTTTTGTAGTTGTAAAAAACTGAAATTTCTATAGTAGAAAATAGAAAATAGAAACTTTTCAGTTTTTCACAAAGTTACAGAAGTTTTATTAGTAGACACATAGCTATGCAATTTGTGAAAACTGAAATTTCTTGGGTATTGAATGGAACAAAATAGGCTTTCTCGTCAGAGGGCATTTTTGGGGGAAAAAACAAAACTGTGGCCAACAACACTACTCAACGATAGACTGATGTGCGAATAAGGTATGAGGTAAAAATGACTGAATTCCAAATAGGGGTAGTGAATCCTTATCTTCAGTTACTGATCACATTACATTTTAGTATATTAGTAATAGAAGACATGATTGCAGTCTTCAACTGTTGTTGCACTTCCCACAGTTTCAGTGGATTGAACTACTGTAAAAAATTGCCTGTCAGGTTAAAGTTATGATGTATTAACCTATAGCAGGAAAGCCCTAGCAGCAATTAATCTGTTAGCAAAGACAAACACAAATGCTATTTGTTCTGCAAAGCAAATAGGGACATTCTGATTTAAAAGACAAAGGGTCAGTTTAAGAATTCATTTCAGTCAACCTCCGTCATGTTAGTAAGTGCTCTCCACCCAGTATAAGGTAGAGATGGACCAATCCGATATTATCGGTA